CGACCTCTTAGCCGTTGCAGATGACTTCCGTTCTTCTATCGTTTGCAGCGCTTTTAGTAAGGTTCGGCGTGTGATTTCGTTTATTGGTATTTTACCTGATAAACTGAACAAGCCACTTTCTAGTGACCGGACGATCTCGGTAGCGTATGACTGACCCCAGCTTGACAAATAATGCTGGAACCAATCTCTGCCGACCTGTTCAAAAGTCGGACTTGTCTGGCGTTGCACAGAAGGATCAATGCCATTGGTAACATCCTTTCTTGCATCCTTATGTTTTTGCCTTGCTTCTTCCAGGGAGATAACCGGGAAGCCACCGAAAGACAGCAGCTTTTCCTTACCGCCGATACGATACTTGTACCGCCAGTATCCCGATCTATTGGGACGGCAATCGAGAAAAAGGCCGTTGCCGTCAAAGAGTTTAATACGTTTATTGGATTGTTGAGCTTGTTTAATAGCAGACTTACACGCTAAGATGGTTAGCATGGATTTACTCCTGTGATCTGGGAAAACGTACCCCCAGCCATACCCCCAAGCGGTTCGGCTTTAACAGGACTTCATGGCAAGGCGCAGGAGGTGCGACATACTATGAATTGTTTTCTTGCAAAGCCTTACGGACTTAGTTGCACGAATCAGGAACTAAAGCCCCCCGGAACAAGTGCAAAGGCAGTGATACATTTTCTTGTTTTTTATTAAGGGCTTATTTGAAGATCCCGATATAATGACCCCCAATTTTACCCCCGGCTTATTTTGCTTTCCAGCAGCCAGAATCTTATGCCTGCCATCGCTAAAATGCAAGTCAATTACGCTTTCCGGCGTCGGCATAACACTGCTTTGGCTATCGTATTCCTTGTGCCGGATCATAGCACGATTGGGATGCATGCGGTCTTGCAACCTCACTGTTTGTGGTGTGCTTGCTTTTGTCCTTTTGATGGAAAGCTGAAGCTGCCGACACGCCTGTCAACCTGCCAACACGGTTTCCGCTGCGCGAGACCCTCCGTGTTTCGGTTGACAGGTGCACTTCGCCGTGTCTGAGGCCGCTTCTAATGGCTTTCACAAGGACGGCAATCAAGCCAACCTTCACAGGAGACCAGCAATGAAAAACGCAGCACCCCAAACCAATAATCCGTCAGCACCTACCCATCTCGCCTACCAGGTGCGGGAAACCGACAATCAGAAAAGCTACTGGACCCGTATCGGCGCAGCATGGAAGCATAAGGATGGAAACGGCTTCAGTATTCAAGTGGATAGTG